CCCCAGGGTGGGCGACGGCTAGCGCATCACACTCCTCTCCTTAAAATCCCTGTGTGGTGGCGGCGTGCCGTTCTCCCATCCCTCCCTTGGGTTGTCTGTTTTCTTTCTTTCTTTCTTTGCACGGCGAAGAACCATACCCGGTACGTCCGGTCTGACGCTGTGTGATTCCTTTCTCTCTCTCTTCCGTGTCTTTTGGGGGCTTGCTTGTCCTCCTCGGTGCTGGGACAGACAGCGGAGCCTCCCTCCAGGCCGTCAATAAGAAGAGAGACGCGGGCTCTCTCGGCTACGGCTACAAGAACATTTAAAAATCGCGATTTACACCTTTATATCGAGGGGTTTTGACACCGATTATATTTTATTGCTTGAAAATTGTTAGGTACTCGCTCCTGTACCCGCCGCTCACAGTTCACACTCCAGTGCACTGTGCACTCAACCACACTGCTCGCACCTCTCAGACCCCAAGCTCTTCTTGCTCTGCTGCATATTTCTCAGCCTTTCGGCACCGCTAAACTGAAACACGTCCAGCAGGATGCCGCGCGCGAGGATGGTCGAAAATCGGCCCCGACCGGCCTACGCTAACCGGTGGCCTTGGCCGCGGCGCCCGCGCGCGTGGGCTTCTTGGCGGCGCGCTCCTCCGCGAGCGCCTCCTCCGCCTCCTTGAGGCGGCTCTCGAGGTCGGCGAGCTTCCGCTTGCCCCCCGCCTCGTCCGGCGCGGCCGGCAGCACCATCTGGAACTCCAGGTTGTCGATGTCCCCGAGCGTGGTCGCCTCATCGAAGGTGCCGGTCTCCGTCTCGCGCCGGAGGAAGTAGTTGACCTCGTGGGAGAAGCCCGGGATCTTCTTGACGACCTGGTCCATGATCTGTAGCAGTCGTGGGAGATAATGAGTGGGAGGTCCGCCGATGGCTGCCAGTAGCGGGTGTTGGGGGGGAGAGATCCGGCCAGGGGCGGGAACTGTGTCGCGCGCACCTTGGCGAGGTCGTTGGGGTGGACGATGTACCCCCTGATTTGGTACTGCACGTTCGACCAGCCCGGAGCGCGCTTATAGTTCTTGTTGGGCCGCTCCGTCTCCTGCTTGTCCTTCCACGTCTCGCCCTGAAAGTCGAGAATCCGCTTCCGCGTCACATGCTGCGGCAGGTACGTGTTGATGCACCCCCACGCGTCGGCCATCTCGTACATGGCGGCCTGGAGCGCGTCCTACTCCGACGGGAACTGGGGATCAGGACGGGCCCAGATGGGGAAGGGGAGGGGGGGAGGCTCACACCCGCAGCTCCTTGTCGTAGCCCATCTCGACGAGGGCGACGCCGGTCAGCATGACGGTCACGCTCACTTGGATCTGAAGGAGGCGCAACGCGGGGTCAGGAAGGTGAGAGAGGGCGGCCGTGTAGCGGGAGCGCACCTCCTCGACGATCGTCTCGCCGAACTTGGAGTCGTTGACCTTCTTGGACGCCTTGCTGCCCGGCGACTGCTTGCCGCCCGGCGTCTCCGCCATTTCGCCCTGTGTGGACAGAGGTGCGTGGGGCGATTCAGGAGTGCCTGGGACGGCGGTGCAGTATGGGGGCTGCAGGGCTGCTCACGAAGTACGCGCGTCCCTTCTGCGGGGTGCTTGCCATGGTGCTGCGGTGCCGAGCGGGGAGAGCGGAGGGACCGATGCGCTAGTGAATCGAGTTGAGACCGGCGGGCGGGGACACGAATGGGATCCCTGAACGTTTCCGCAGGCGAAAGGACAAGACGTGCTTTTAAAACAGAGAAACACGCCTCCAAGTGCTCCAAGTGCACGGCGAAGAACCATACCCGGTACGTCCGGTCTGTGCTCCAAGTGCACGGCGAAGAACCATACCCGGTACGTCCGGTCTGACGCTGTGTGATTCCTTTCTCTCTCTCTTCCGTGTCTTTTGGGGGCTTGCTTGTCCTCCTCGGTGCTGGGACAGACAGCGGAGCCTGCCCTCCCTCCAGGCCGTCAATAAGAAGAGAGACGCGGGCTCTCTCGGCTACGGGACCGGCCCCAGCTTCGGCTGAGGGCTGACAAGCTGCCGAGCCCAAATCACTGACACTGTGAGAGTCGTGATTTCTTGTTGGTTTTCAAAACTCTCTCTCTCTCTCTCTCTCAATAATCGCGTGTGGGGTGTGCCCAACATTTTTTTATTACTAAACGCGGTACAATATTAACACTCCTGGACGAGCACACTTCCAACGTCATTGCCGCCTCTGTCATCGCACTTTCAATTTGGGCTGTTCTTCTCGCTCGCCTCGCCTACATGTACTTCTAAGAATTCCTAATTCCGCCTCGCTTTTTTTGGATGGATCTCGCGCCGCCGCCGGTAGGGTGGCTCGCTCGGGGAGACCAAGCTGCTTTCGTTTCGCCGAAGACACACTGAACTTTCATTCCTTCTCGCTAGTTGGCTTTATGATGAAGAGCTGGGTGATCCTTGCGCGACTGATGGCTGTGTGTATGTGACCCTTTGTCCACGACCCATCCATCCGCCTCGATGTAAACTTTGTCTGGAGGGTTGATCGTCCTCCCTTGAATTGAATGGAGAAAGAGGGAAGAAGACTAAAAGTACGTACATGCACACACCGTGCAGCGCGGGGCCCACAGTCGAGAGAAGGGGAACTCAACATATAAAAGTGGGGCAATTGGCCGAAGCAATTAGCGAACCCTCTCGTTTCGTGGGTGTGTCGCCGCGTCGAGCGAGAGTATACGCAGCAGCGCACGAGCAAAATGGGGAAATCAAGCTCGCGCGACGCCTGCTCAGCCGACGAAGGCTGGCGCCGCCGCGTGGCACGTCCGCCCAGATCGGCTCCTCGGCTGTCGGGTGGAACGGATGTCAGCTGTGAGGGAAGCGGCAGCCTCTGGGGAGGCAGAGACGGAGGCCAGATATTTGACGAATTCCACTGTCACAGTCCGAACAGCGATAAGCTGGGGCCACAGGGAGGCTCGCCGTTTGCAGGCCGCAGCGCTGCCCTGCCCGTCACCCTCACGGTTGGCGCACGCGCCGCTCCGGCAACCCAAAGATGCTCCGACCCAAAGAGGCTCTTCGATGGCATCCATCGAAACGAGGCGTCCGTCCACGCGGCACTGAACCACCCGAGACAGCTCGAGGAGTGCCTGAGGCCCACCCACTTGTTGCCGTCCGAGATTGCCAACCGTCTCGACCCCGACGGCGACCGGCGACCGCTGCACTGGGCGTCTGCACGCGGCCACGCCAGCTGTGTCAGGCTGCTGCTGCAGGCGGGCGCAGACCCAGAGGCCGTCGATGCAAACGGGCGGACCGCGATGGCGCTGGGCCTCGAGCATGAGGAGTGTGCCGCGCTGCTCATATCGTGGGCGTCGGGAAGCAGAGAGTGACGGTGCGGAGCAGGCGGCGGCGCGTCAGGCGCAAAAGTCCTCGGTGGGCCACCGCCATCCGGCTGTGAAACAGAGGAGAATTCGGCCGGCCTTGCGTAGTTCGCCATCGCCTGTCACTGCACCAGCGCTGACGAGGGTTTACATGCACGTTCCGTGGTCCGGCGATGATGAGAGCGTCGGGGAGTCAGGGAGCGTAGTGGCTAGTGCGTTCTGAGAGGGAAATCCGCCCGCGCGCACGTGCACTACTCACACTAGACGAGATGTTCGTTCGAGACCGGCTAGCCCCTCGCCTCGGTGTTTATCGACCGTTTCTTTTAGAGACAAAATCGGCCTCACGCCCCCCCCCCCCCCGGCCGCCCGCCGCGAGATCGCCGAGATGCGCGATGCGTCGGGGTCTCTGTGCAGCGTCCGCGCAGGAGTCGGTCCGCGCTGGGGGCGCGCTGCACGCCTGGCACACTGCTTGCTAAAAATCTCTCTGCTCACTGGGTTCCTCCCGCGGCGTTTTTTTCCACATTAGTATTGCTGATATTAGGCACAAACCCGCCTCTTTGCTCTGAAGATACACATCTGTAAGTCTGGTGCACTGGGTTGGAACGGCCATAGCGCCATCAGAGCGCCATACGCGCGCAGGCGGGGACTCTTGAGCACTTTAGCACTGGATAGGGTCGGTTCCGCATGGTACGGGACCCCTCGATCGTCTCGCCCACCCTCACTGGTGTGTTCATTGGGTGGGGTCATAACAAACACGGTACAGGATTGAGGTGCACGCTGCAGAAGCAGTGTCGTCCCCCCTCTCCCCGACGGCGATGGCGGTGTGACCGATCGAGCTACAAGAGGAGCTTGTTCAGCAGGATCCGGGATAGTCAGATGGGGACTCTCCGTAAAATTGACTGCAGCCAGCTTCCCGGTCCGCCCCGGCGTCCATAGGGAGCTTCGCCCGCACGCACCCTGCGTTTAAGACCGTTTAAGGAATCGGCGGCGCCCCCCAGGAATCGGCGGCCCAGCCAGGCAGTGTTGCATTCTAAGAAAGAGGAAGAAACACGACAAAACCCCAACGGAGGGCTTGGAGGACATTCCGGTGTCTGAGGCCTGAATTCTCTTCGTGTCCTCCACGATGCCGCCCATGCCGGATCATGCGGCGGCGCAGGCTGGCGTCTCTCCGAGCGCTGTCGCCGCTCGCTCCTCCAGAAACCTACGCTGGGACATCAACATGGTCCGCGCCAAGGCGGGTCTGCGCTCAAACATGGCGGTGCCACGCCGAATCGCGCAAAAGGCGCGCCGCGCGCGACGATCGGGAGGAGCGAGCGGCGCCGAAGCGGCGTCCGACTTTGATGCTGCGCCGTCCGGCCGCGGAGTGGAGGTGATGCGACCGTGCCACTCCGGCGGGCGGTTTGCACTCTGCCACCGGCCCATCTCTGTCTGTAGGTGCGGCAGCGGCTGCAGCAGCTGCAGCAGCTGCAGGCGGACCGCAGGCTCTTCCACCACGCCAAGCAGCTCCAGGCGGCCGTCAAGAAGGCCAAGGCGCTACTGCTGCGCAAGACGGTGCGCAAGCTGCACGACGTGGCGCAGGGCCCGGCCGCGGAGGCGGCAGCGCTCCGCCTCGCGCTCATCAAAGCGCTGCCGCCCGCCGCTGTAGCCCGCGAGGCTCTGGGCAGCCGCGGCGTCTCCGTCCCCGCGCCGACGAGGCGGGGCACGGCTGCCCGCTCCGACGCCGCAGGGGCCGCGGAGGGCGAGTGGGAGCGGTTGCGGGCCGAGCATCCCCAGGCGAGCGCCGCGGCCGTCGGCGCGCTGCTCGGCAGCCAAGCGGTGCGAGAGCAGCTCGACGCGGCGGCCGCACTGGCGCGCTCCGCCGACCAAGGCGCCGCAAGCCACAGCGTCGAGGGCGAGTCCCACGAGCCAGCGCCCGCGCACGCTCCGCGGCGGAAGCGAGCGCGGCCGGAGGAGGGCGGCGCGGGCGAGAGGGCGGGCGATGGGGCGGCCGCGGAGGCTGGCGCGGCACGCCACCGCCAGCCAAAGGCAGCGTCGCGGAAGGCGCCGCGGGGGGCGAGCAGTGTCTTTGTCGCGTCCCTGGCTGCCGCGAGCGACGACGAGGGCAGTGACGAGGGCGAGAGGGCCCGGCCTTGCCTGCTCCGCCCCAGCAAAGCACATTCAGAGGCCGGCTGCGCGCCGTAGGTTCGGAGACGGGCGGAGCGGGGCGTGCGGGCGGCTTCAGCTTGGCCAGCGGCGGCGACGATCTCGACGCTCCGGGCGGCAAGAAGCGCAAGAACGTCATATCCCGAAGCGGCAACCGGATGGGCCAGCGGCAGCGCCGTGCCCTCGCCGAGCAAGCTGCGGAGGGCGGCGGTGGAGCCCAGGGCGGGCGCGGCGGTGGCCGTGGCAGCGGCAAGGGCAGGGGTCGGGCCGGTGGCAGCAGTGGCGGTAGGGGCGGGTCCAAGGGCGCTTCTGGCAGGGGCGGCGGCGGCAAGGGCGGCGGCAAGGCTGGCGGCCAACAGAGTGGCGCAAGACCGGCGGTTGCCGCGGCGCAGGGCGGCTCTTCGGCCGGCGCGTTGCACCCGTCATGGGAGGCAAAGAAGAATGCCAGCGCAGGCATCCAAGCCTTCCAGGGCAAGCGCATCACTTTCGACTGATGCGCGTACATGCTGCCCATTTATGCATGTTTGTGTACTGTATGACAGTGTATCGAGCTCTGTTCTCGCGCCCACCGGGCACCGTCTCGCCCGCCCATGAGGTCTTCGTTTGCAGGTTGTGATATCGTCATTGTGTGCAGGGTCTGTCACAAAATTCAGCCACAGGGGAATGGGAGAAATAGTGTGTCCGAGCTAGCCCTGGCTGGTGGCAATAATATTTCCCGCACCCCGCGGCGTCTCCCGTCTCCGTCTCCCCGTCTCCCCCCGCGCCCCCGCGGCGCCCTGCGCGTCTGGGACCGTGGGAGACTGGTGACGGCTGACGCTCTGGTGACTGGCGCGCAAAGACGAGAGGAAAGAGGCAACCCAGGTGCAAATGATGCGCGGAGTGCCGAGTGCGGTCTAGCTGCGCATATCTCGCACAAAATCCCCCCGCGCCTCGCGCGTCGCGGCCGCCACCCGCGCGAGCGGCGCGAGATGCGACTCGAGCAGACATCTATGTGGCCCAAGCTGGCAGAGCTGGCACGATGCGCCCCTTCTAGATCCTGGTTCCGGCGGCGTGCACAAGTCAATCTTCGCCCGGGAAGCTGCAGGAGGAGCAATGTACTACCGCTAGCGACTCGTAGGCGACGCATGACCCGCACTCGACTTGTGATCGCTCCTGAGGTGAGCGGCTTGTCCTTTGTGTCGCCGATAGGCCGGCTCGCTTTAGGAGCACCGAGTCCGCTTCGTGCTATACCTTCTCTTAGCTTTGCCCTCAGCTTTTCTCTTGCCTGGAGCATTGCACGTTACTCCTCTCGTCCTTGCTCTGTCTCAACGGGGGTGGCAGCCGGATAACGCCGTTCGTACTCGCTGCGGTCGTAGCAGTGGCTCAGGTTTGCGGTTCGACTGGTTGGAGGCAGGACCTTCCTCCCGCCGCTCATCCCCGGCTGGCTGAACGACGCGCCGCCGAGCAGGACTCGCTGCGTTTGAGCCGTAAAGCTCGGCTGAGAGCTACGCTCGAGGGCGCCAATGGTTGCGGCTTGCGCACGATCATGCTTTGCGATTTGTGGGCCCGAGCTGGCCGCTGTGACACGAATTCCCTGCTTCCCTTCTTTCGACGTCATACGCCGGCCACCGACGTAACGTCGAGTAACGGTCAGGGATGTTACTTACGTTTCGCTCTTGCGAACTCCCCGGATGTCTCAAAAAAGGAAAAGAAAAAAGTGAGAAAAGTCTTCAAAATTCTTTTCGTCCAGCACGCGAACTGCGGCCTCTCGTCTCTCGACGCCTCATGTCGTCGCCTCTGCTCTCGGCGAGCCGGCCGTGGGACGCAGAGTTTACGGAAGACACCGGCCGTGGGCGCGTCGCGCTGGCAGCCTTCTTTCTCGGCGCAGTCTTTGGCTGTGCGCGCAGTGCAGCTCGGCCGCCTGCCGCTGCCAACACGGCAACCCACGGCCTGCCCTTGACCGCAGGCTCTCTGCTAATGCTGGCGGTGATATCGAGCGCCGCTCCTTTCTTTGCTTACATGGCGATGCTCTCCGCCTTTCACATGTGCGAGTACCTGCTCACGGCAGCGTTCCGGCCGGACACGCTCAACTTTGACAACTTCCTTCTCAACCACTCGACGGTTTACCAGGTCATGATATCGCTATCGTGGGTCGAGTACTGGCTGGAGTATGGGCTCGCGCCTTCCAGAAAGTGCTGGGGGACGATCAGCACGGCCGGCTTGCTACTGTCTCTGCTCGGGCTGGGCACGAGGATCATCGCCATGTCGACTGCGTGCGTCACCCTGCCCTCGCCGCCCCGCTCGTGCCACGCCAGCGCGCGATCGGAGGCTGCTGCGACGTAGGTCGTCCAACTTCTCGCACATCATCGAGGAGGAGCAGCGGCCGGAGCACCAGCTCGTCACGCGCGGCGTCTACTCGTGCCTCCGCCACCCCGCCTACTTTGGCTACTTTTGGTGGGCCGTCGGCACGCAGGCGGCCGTGGTGCACCACGGGCCCTCTCCCTCCTCGCCTCACGCCCCAAGGCGAGCTCTCGTGCAGGTGCTGCTCGCCAATCCCGTGTGCGTGTGCGCCTACGCCGTGGCCAGCTTCCTCTTCTTCCGCCACCGAATCCCGTACGAGGAGCACTTCCTCGTCCGATTCTTCGGCGAGGAGTACCTCCGCTATCGCGAGCGGACCTGGATCGGCATCCCGGGGATCAGATCTATTCGGCCGGGCGAACTATGGGCCACAGACTCATAGAGTGGACTTGCACCGGAAGCTGGGTCGTGCCGTCACTGCTGCGGTCTCTGGCTGTTTTTGTTTTTCGTCTCGTTTTGTTTTTCGTCCCGGTCAATCGGAGTCATCGGCGAGTCTGGGACGCCCATCACCGAAAAGGCTAGCTGACACGAGTCCCTGGTGGTACCTGCTACAACTAGAAACCAATAAAACAGATCTCGCGCGGGGGTCGCCCGGACTCGCGCCCCGGCTCCTGAGGTTCCGGGCTCCGCGCGGCCGGGGGCGGAGAGCGGTAGCTGGAGCTCCTCGCCTCGCGGCGCCGGTGCGGATGGATGTACAGTTAGGCCATGACACAGGCCCCTTGGCCCCTCTCTCGGTTCTTCCTGCGGAGCCACACGACCGCTCGTCCCCCGACGACGCGCGCATTCTCCCACACCCCCAGACATGCCCACAGCGGTGAGACAAGACCCGCGCTCAAACCCCATCGTGACTCACATCGCCACGAAATCTGATCATACATCGCAGCAGTTCGCACACATGACAAAAGCTGTCCGAGCCGGTACAGCTCCCCTCCCCCCCTCCCCCCAACCCTCGCATCGAGTCTTGCGTCTCTCTCTTCCATGGCTCGCGGCTCTTTCTCCTCGCCGAGGACACCGCACCGCGCGACAGGCACAGCTCATGCTAGAGCTCATGCCTGTGGCAAGATCTTCTTCGTGGACTCCGCGTCGGCGGCGCTCTTCGGCTTCAGGTAACCGGCGCTGTTTCTCAATTGCTCGATCACCCCACACCAGCACGTCAGGATGAGCGTGAGCAGGATCAATGCGTACAGAGTGTCGGGGCCGAGGCCGAAGGAGGGCCCACCAAACGCGCTAGCGGCCGCCGCGTCCAGCTTGAGGGAGACGTGTTTACGCTCCCCAGGCCACACAAAGATTGGATCAAGCACGCTCTGGCCAAAGACGTGACCGTAGAGGGGGCCGTCAAGGAGCGCCTTGGCGATGATGGTGTTGGTCTGCAGGTTGGACTCGCTCTGCAACATCATGCCTGTGAAGGGCTCGAACCACAGCGATCGGCCGGTACCCATGGACGTGTCGTAGTGGAGCTCTGCGCCACCACCGTAGGGCTGGAGAGAGACCAACTGCCGCCGCGACGAGTTGCCCATGTAGGGAAGGGTGGTGAAGCTTCCGCCGAGCACGATCCCGTGCGGCTCGCGCATGCCGTAGTCGCACCCCGTCAACGTGAAGGCGCACATTCCAGTGTCGTCCCTGACACCACCGGAGGTCAGTTGCCAGGTGTCGCTCGTCAGCGAGTACCGCTGCACCGCCACGGCGTTGTGCAGGCGCTCGCCAGCGCAGCCGTTGTCGCACTCGAAGTTGTAGTTGCGAAGCGTCTCGGCCGAGTCGAACAGAGTCACCCGCTCGCCAAACGACGGGACGACGCCGATGGGCCGCAGCCCCGCGGCCGTCAGGGTCGGGTACTCGCGCGGCCCCAGCGGAGGCTGTGAGCCGATGATCGGTATGCCGTCGAGGACGAGCGTCCCACGCGTGGCGCTCATGTCGCCCGTGCCGTCCCACCCGGGGTCCGCCCAGAGCCACATCGCGTCGGCCGGCGGGATCGCGCTCAGATTGCGAGCCCCCTTGATGGCGCCGAGGCGGCCGATGTCCTTGGGCCGGCCTTTGCCCGTCTTCATCGTGGTGGTGAACTCGCGGCCTCCGTCGCTCGGCGCGCCCATGAGGCCGACGGCGGTGCCGTCGGCGATCGCCGCCTCGAGGTCGGCTCGGCTCTCGTAGCCGAGATAGATGTTCATCGCCGACGCCGGCAGCGCGGGCTGCATTGTGAGGGCGGACGTGTAGCCGCGGAAGATCTCGTGGAGCGTGTGGCGCACGAACAGGCCCTCGTTGAGGGCGCCGGTGCCGTCGGCCTTGATGACGGCCGCGTCCATCTGGAGGGCGCCGTACAGGCTCGGCACCGCGTAGGAGAGGGCGGTCTCGCCGCCGACCGAGGCGAGGAGGGCGAGGAGGTTGGGGTTGAGGGTGACAAACTCCAGGTTCCAGTCGTAGGGATTGACCACCCCCATCCGCGACCACGTCTTGCTCGTGTACTCGCTCTCGTCGTCGGACAGCTCAAAGTCAAAGGACTGCGCCTCGATCTTGAGCTCGACGCACACCTCCTCGAACGCCGGCACGGGCGTCGGCGTGGCGGTGAGCAGCGCGTGGCCATTTGTCAGATTGAAGAAGCAGTGCTTGAACGGCATCGACCCCGGCTGGCCGGCCGTGGCGTTCCACTTCTCAAAGGTGTCCATGACCGTCAGCATCTCGACAATCTGCGCGAAGTTGTTTGGGAGGACCACCAGGAGGGTGACGGGCATCCCGACGAAGAGATTCAACAAGGCGCTGACGACCATGAACTGGCAGCATCGTGTGCGGCGGGCGTACACCGAGCGCAGCCGCTGCGAGGGTGCCTCGGGCATGGCTCGTGCGTCCTGCTGAAGTTCCGCGCGCAGCCCAATCGGCGCGATTGCGGGCTCGCTTGTGTAACGACTCTGCGGGGATTCATCACAGCGCAGTCCTTGGAGGGTATGTCAAGGAGCAGAATACCGGTTCTCCGTCTTCACTGCCGTTCTAGACTCGGCTCGTTCACGGACGGTCGGGGTTGTTTGTGTCGCGAGGGGGGGGGGGGGGTTGCACGGACGGACCACGGTTTTTACGGTTCACGCATCACGGACGGACGGACGGAGTCGGGGCGGCGAGTCATCAGTTCACGGTACACCGCACGCGGACTCGGGGGCGGGAGCTAGTCGGTTGACGGTTCACGTTTCACGCGTCACCACAACTCGCTGACAACTCGGGGGCAACTCCGCTTTTTATTACTCGAAATAGCCTTGTTAGACCTAAAG